CGGTTGTGAAAGCATCATTACTATCCAATTGTAGAACAATTTCATTTCTCAATAGAAACTCCACACCCATTGGCAGTTACTTCTCATGGTTCCATCCCTCAAGCCCTCATAATCACTAATCTGCATTGTCTCTATGTGTTTGCCTATTCTGGACATTCCACATAAACAGAATCAGAGAATATATGGTTTTTGTGTCTGGTTTCTTTCACTTTGCATGTTTTCAAGATTCACCCAAGTTGTAGCATGTATTGATATGTCATTCCATTTTATGGCTGAGTAATTTTCCATTGTGTAGATATAATACAATTTGTTTATCCATTCATCAGCTCTGACAGACATTTGGATTGTTTCCACTTTTTGACTTTCATAATGCTGCTATGAACGTTTGTGTACAAGTTTTGGTGTGAGTATGTTTTTCATTTCTTTAAGAATCTGATACGTGTTGACATATGTACATACTTATAAAACCATCACCACAATCAAGTCTGTATATACAAGTATCACCCAGAAAGTTTCCTTATGTCCCTTTGTAATCTTGCTCTTCCTATCCACAAAGCAATCAGTCACCTGTTTCCCTCACCACAGATTAGACTACATTTTTTAGAACTTTAGAGAAACCAAATAATACCATATATAATTTTTCTGACATTTTTCATTCAAAATAATTATTTTCAGGTTAATCTATGCTGTGTGGATCAGCCATTCATTTTTCATATAGCTCAGTAGCACTGCATTGTATGAATATACCACAGATGCTTTATCTACTTCCATAATCAATTATCCCTTACCACTAGTGGACACTGAGTTTGTCTCTAGTTTTTCACTACCATAAATAAAATGGCTATGATATTCACATACAGATATTTTTATGAAAATTTTTAAGCTTTTTAAAAATAGTCAAGCCATGTTCCAAGATAGTGGTACCATTTCATATTCCTATTCGCCATGAATAAGAGGTCTAATTCATTCACATCTTCACCAGTACTCAGGGAAGCACTCTGAAGTCTCAACACAAAATGCTCGTCCCTCTTCTCGCCAAGGGATAAGCCTCAAGTTGTGTGACATTTTTCAGTCACGACAAGCTGTGCAGGTCACAGCAAGCATCTCCCCAAACTCCTTTGTTCTCAGCCACCCCAGATATCCAAACTATGTAAGCTCCTGCTTGTGTTTCCAATGAGGCAACACAGAAACAAGTCCCTTAAGCAGCCTGGCTCAACAGCCAGAATTCCGGATCCAACCTCCACTATTCCCTCCTCCCTACATCCCCAAGCCTGAGAGAGTTGAGGAAGGGACTGATACAGGTAATATAAAATTGCTCTATTTACTCATTTCAATGCTGCTGTTTTCTGCTTTGGGCAAGTCTGAGGTACTATAATTTCTTAACTAGATTTTGGAATTGTCATGTAAGGATTTTTGTCAGTATATCTTTGTTAAATCAGTGTTTCTGTCAGGGAGGGAGGGCTGGAATTTCCAAATCCTCTATCTGGTTAATGTAACTCCAAAAATTCTCAGTCTTGACTATTTATTTCCTTCACTATTTTAAACAGTTATTTTAATAACTGCATCTGATAACTCTATTTGCAAGAGCCCCTGTGGGTCTTTTATATTGTCTCTGGCTTCTTTTGCATTCCTTTCATATAGTTTTGGTCCTTACATTCCAGGTTATTTTTTATTGAGTACAGGGCAGGTATATAAAAATTTATAGACAACTTGAAGATCTAGAATGGAGTTATCTTGTTTCAGAGAGGATATACTTTTACTTCTATGAGATGGATAGACAGCAGCATCAAGGATTACCTTAATCCAACTCAAGAAACTGAAATGATTTCAAGTTGTATTGTAGTTCCCAAGGGAGGCAATCTACTTCTGATTTACCCACTCCTAGGCTGTGACCTTTTATGGTCTCAACCCAAATTATGACAGTTTCATAAAGGAATCTACCTTGGTAAAACCTGAATTCCAATTTTCCCTCTTCCCCGTAAAATGTCAATAGTACTGATCAGCTTCTCAGTCATTTCCTCCAAAATCAACAAGTGCTCTTAGGAAAAAAAGGACCTAGATGTCTGGCTCACTTCATTTTCTCCTGGATCATAGCTTGACTATTATTTACTGCCTCTGATGCCTTCAAGCAGATGCTATTTTTATTTTATTTATTTTTAGACAGGGTTTTACTCTGTCATCTAAGCTGGAGTGCAGTGGCATGAGCTCAGCTCACTACAACCTCTGCTCCCGGGTTAAAGCAATTCTCGTGCTTCAGCCTCCAGAGTAGGTGGGACTACATGCACCCACCACCATCCCTGGCTAATTGTTTCTATTTTTAGTAGAGACGGGGTTTTAGCACATTGGCCAGGCTGGTCTTGAACAGCGGGTTCAAGTGATCCCCCTGCCTTAACCTCCCAAAGTACAGGAATTGCAGGCGTGAGCCACTGTGCCTGGTCTAGCAGATGTTGTTTACATTTGTATATCTTTTCAAGTTGTCATTGTTAAGATGGTTAATCTGAATTACACAAGCCACCATTACTGGAAGAGAGGTTCAGGCTTTACAAATGTATACTTTATCTACAATAGTTTCCCTACCCCCCAGTGGGAATGCTAATGGCATTGAAGGTAAAAATTCTTCTAAACATCGCACAAATTACAGGATGTTTAATATCCCTGGTCCTTGACACTAAATGCCGGTTACAACCTCCTCCTCTCCTCCCCCCTCACAACTCATTGTAAAACTAAGACCATAAGAGTTTTATAAGATACTCATTAAGTTCAAGAAAAATGGTAGCATTTGGAAATGTGAAATAATTTCATTTGTCATATTCTGTCATTCCTCTTCATAGCAAACCTCTGCTTTGATTGAGGTTTAGAGGTACACAGCACTTTTTAAAGTAAAAACATCAGGTGAATGGTGCTTGGCTAAAAACAATTAAGCCAAGGGTTAGCAGGGACCATGGACAAGCTGCAGGTAGTCATGAATCTACTAAATTTACTTCCAGGCTGGGCGCAGTGGCTTATGCCTGTAATTCCAGAACTTTGGGAGGCCAAAGTAGGAGGACTGCTTGAGCCCAGGAATTTGAGAACAGCCTGGACAACATGAAAAGACCCTGTCTCTATAAAATTAAAAAAAATTAGCTGGGCATGGTTGCACGTGCCTATCATCCTGGCTACTTGAGAGGCTAAGGAGGGAAGATTGCTTGAGCCCAGGAGGTTGGGGGCTGTAGTAAGCTGTGTTCAATGCCACCGTGTTCCAGCCTGGGTGACGACTAAGACCCTGTCTCCAAAAAAATTTTTTTTTGATTTCCAAAACTTTGTGGAGGAAGAATGTAATCAACAGACATTTTTTGGAGAAGTGCCACCAGAAAGGGATTATGTAGTTCACATTAAACAGATATAAGTTAAATATCTACTTAATATGGAATTGGTTAATTAAATAAAAAGCTTTAAATATATTAAGGCTTAACTATGATGACTTAATGAGTAAAAACTTGCACTAGTAGAGAAGGGAGATGTAATTTTTTTAACTGACAAAAACTATACATTTACAATGTACAACGTGATGTTTTGAAATATGTATACATTCTAGATAGGCTAACTTGAGCTAATTAACATATGCATTACTTCACATACTTTTTTTGCAGTAAGAACACTTAAAATACACTCTGAATGATTTTCAAGTATACAATACATGGCTATTAACCATGTTGCATAGTAGATATCTTGAACTTATTTCTAATTGAAATTTTGTATCCTTTGACCAAAGGGAGATATTATTTTAGAGTTGGATCTCCTGAGAGGAGGCAAATGTAACTGGAAAGAATTACTTTGAAAATGATATCACTATTCATTTTAATTCAGATACTAGAAGACTCTATTGATATTTATACTAATCTCCTCTAAGGCTTTCTAACTTTCACTGATTGAAGTTAAAGCAGAAGACTATGGATGGGGACAATGATGAAAAGAGTTGTAAGTTACAGAGCTGAGCTAAGAGCAAAATTCAACAAGAGACAGGAGGGAAGCAAGAGGGCAGAATTTTTGTGCAAGGAATTAAGAATTCCATGAACAGGCAGAGTATGGACCTTAGGGAAGGGAACATTTCAGCAAAACTAGAAAAAGACAAACCCAGATGGAGAACAATGACAAAGGCTGAATCAGAGTGGGACACTTGTAGGCAGGTATATATAAAGGACAAGTGAGAGGTAATGTAAATGGAGCAGCCATTGGTCTGAAACAGTCTCATTTTTAAGTTACATTTTTCTTAATGTAAAAGCTGTCCAATGTACAGTGGACACTTTCTAGAATCCTCTCAATCTTTCATCCTAGCCCCTGCTGAATAATTGGTGATAAAGTCCTCATACAGATGGTGGGATGACAAGGATGAGACTCATAGTCCCATCTGACAAGTCCCATAGATGAACTTCTTTCCACAAAAGAAGTTCATCTAAGGAAAAGCAAAATATACCATCTATTCATCTTTTAGCATAAAGAAAATATGTCCACTTTCCTTTTTTCTGTGTTAGAGTACAATGGCACCATTATAGCTCACTGCAGTCTTTAATTCTTGGGCTCAAGTGATACTGTTGCCTCAGCCTCCCTGGTTGTTGAGACTACAGGTGTGCATCAACATGCCTAACTAATGTTTAAAAAATTTTTTGTAGATATGAGGTCTCACTATGTTGTCCAGGTTGGTCTCAAACTTCTGGGCTCAAACAATCCTCCTGCCTCAGCCTCCCCAAGTACTGGAATTACAGGCGTGAACTACCACACCCATTCCAACCACTTTCTAAAAGTCTAATTGACCTAAGAAAAAAAGGGGCCTGGGTTAACATTTTTAAAAAGAATGAACACTAGGTAAGATTAGGACATACAAAATTATGTATGCTATATATAAAATATTTAATGATTTAAAAAATATTTTCTTGATTCATGTGAGGTGATGTCGACTTAAAATAAATCCTTTAATCATAGGCTTCTACAAGATGACATTGAAAATGGGAAAAAAGACATACCCAATTGCTGGAACAGGAGAGCCACACTAGTGCCTGTGACAGGAAGACTATCATGTAAAGGAGTCTGGATCAGCTGTCTATCTCCTGCACCCAAAGAAAACAGCTTCTGCAGAATGGGAGAAACACACACACACACACACACACACACACACACACACACACACACACAATTTCAGACATTTTTTAAAAAATAAAAATAACTTTGATGTTCAATTTTAGAGCAAATGACCATATAAGATACAATTAACAGATACTAAGGACAACAATGGATACCCCAAAACATTTAAGTTATTTGTATATTTAAGTGGCACAAGAAAATTCAAAAACTGAAACTCTAATAGAGATAAGACACAAAAATCATTGATAATCGTAACTGGCTAAAAATAATAAAATATTAAAGTCAACAACTTTATTAAAGGCTCATAAAGTAATTCAAGTTTAGAGCCATCTGTGACCAAACTTACATTTAATTTTCTGCCCTTTGAGCAGAGGTAGAATGAAGGAGGAGAGGGAGAGAGAAGAAAAAAAAGGATAAAAATTTAAGACAAAAGACATTGAGAAAGATAGAAGTAAAAAGGCAAAGGGCAAGAAAAAGGAATGTCAATCTCACTATAAGCAGGATCTTTGTCCGACTGATGGCAATGTGATTTTTGGAAGGCTGTCCTCTTCCCCAATATTAAATAAGAATAAGTGAAATAAATTATCAACTATTCATTTTTAGGGTTTAAGGACAAAATCTATTCTTTTTAAAATGGTTGACCATGAAACAACAAATAAATCATAGCAGTTGTTCTTATTTTTCTACTTTAGTGACAAATATGAAAATCTCAAGACATACAGAGTAAATGAATCTATTAATAAGTAGTTACAATGTAACAAAGAACTGTGTTGAGAGTTTTCCTAATGCTATCTTCTAATTTTTATCACTCAGACATTTTTCAATTTAGGTTAATAAAAATGAGGCGTAACTATATACAGGAGTAAGAAAGGTAAAAGAGCACATTTAAAAGTTCAACTTAATGTATTTCCAAGAAAATATAAACTATAGTTCAAGTTACACAAAATATGACTTCTAATTATGCTATGTGAAAGATGAACCCTGTGATAAAATTAACCTCATGACCCAAGAAAAGAATGGAATCTTGGGTGTCTAGAAGGCAGACCATGGGGACAATGCTTAACTAAACTAGGATCTTCCTTAAAACAAAAATATTTTTAAAATGCTTTCTCTTTCTCCATAAATTAAATTAACTGGAGGAGAGGGGAAGAGGAACAATTCTTCTCCATCTGTCTTTCTATTCTATTTACCTGAGACCCTCCAGCCGCTGGGACAAGGCAGGCACAAAGGTTTGCAACTAGACTTTCCAAGGAGACATTCAGGCTGTCCACATACACGGTATAAATCAAACCCAGGCAAGCCTGCAAAGAAATAGATGCATATAATTATCTCATGGAAAAAGCATTAAAAATAAATTGTTATGACATCTGCTCTAGGACAATTTCTCTTTGAACCTAGTAAAGTATATTATACAGTGAACATGGAATATATTTTAAGCAGCAAAAATTAAGTTTATTAAATTTTCTTTAGAACCAGAACCTCCAAATGAGCTTCTGAGATGAGTTTATAGAAAGCAGAAATCCATAATTTGTAAAACAGGTGTTTGTGCTCGGAAAACTACTCTAGCAAATCTGTAGGGCTAAAATTGTTTTTGCCTCAACTTTGTTAAACTCTAACTCTCAAGATAAAAACTTAGAAACTTTATCTTGTTTTGTGGTTCTTACAAATCTGGAATGCTTAATCTACAGAAAAATACAGCATGTGAATTATAAGAAAGGAATGCAAAACAGAGACAAGATTATAATATTAAAACTGAGTTCAGAAGAAGATTGGTGGTAAAACAGACATAATGCAATCTTTATGAATCTTTCAGTACAGCAAAATTTTTGACTCTGAAAATTTAATATTTGCTTGGAGTTATCCATTGTCATTGAAATACTGACACTAAATTAATTCTTTTAGAATATAAATAATCTCAATTTCCAGAAAAGTTTTACAGAAATTATATGTTAGTACAAATATTTACAAATGAATAAAAATTTCCTCTTGTGTTTGAAAATGCTGTGTTTGTAAAACAAGGAAATATCTGGAAGCAATATTTTATGACTACTTTGACAGAAGTATGATCAGAATTATTTGAAATCTTAAACACCTATCCTATTTACTTGAACCTGATTCCTCATGCATTTTACATTTACTATAGGTAATCAAATTATTTATTCAAGATTTATATGTTATGGATTCAACAAATGTGGGACCTATTTTATTTTTTATTTTTTATTGCATCTTAGGTTTTGGGGTACATGTGAAGAACGTGCAAGATTGTTGCACAGGTACACACGTGGCAGTGTGATTTGCTGCCTTCCTCCCCTTCACCTATATCTGGCATTTCTCCCCATGCTATCTCTCCCCAACTGCCCACCCCCTGCTGTCCCTCCCCTATTTCCCCCCAACAGACCCCAGTGTGTAGTGCTCCCCTCCCTGTGTCCATGTGTTCTCATTGCTCAATACCTGCCTATGAGTGAGAACATGCAGTGTTTGATTTTCTGTTCTTGTGTCAGTTTGCTGAGAATGATGCTTTCCAGGTTCATCCATGTCCCTACAAAGGATACGAACTCATCGTTTTTGATGGCTGCATAATATTCCATGGTGTATATGTGCCACATTTTCCCTGTCCAGTCTATCATCGATGGGCATTTGGGTTGGTTCCAGGTCTTTGCTATTGTAAACTGTGCTGCAATGAACATTCGTGTGCATGTGTCCTTATAGTAGAACGATTTGTAATCCTTTGGATATATACCCAGTAATGGGATTGCTGGGTCAAATGGAATTTCTATTTCTAGGTCCTTGAGGAATCGCCACACTGTCTTCCACAATGGTTGAACTAATTTACACTCCCACCAACAGTGCAAAAGTGTTCCTATTTCTCCACATCCTCTCCAGCATCTGTTGTTTCTAGATTTTTTAATGATCGCCATTCTAACTGGCGTGAGATGGTATCTCAATGTAGTTTTTGATTTGCATTTCTCTGATGACCAGTGATGATGAGCATTTTTTCATATGTTTGTTGGCCTCATGAATGTCTTCTTTTGTAAAGTATCTGTTCATATCCTTTGCCCACTTTTGAATGGGCTTGTTAGTTTTTTTCTTGTAAATCTGCTTTAGTTCTTTGTAAATTCTGGATATCAGCCCTTTGTCAGATGGGTAAACTGCAAAAATTTTTTCCCATTCCGTTGGTTGCCGATTCACTCTAATGACTGTTTCTTTTGCCGTGCAGAAGCTGTGGAGTTTGATTAGGTTGTGGGACCTATTTTAAAACAAACACTACATCCTTAGAAGTTTGAGTAGTCACATTAACTTATTCAAGTATTTATTTCATCCAACATGAAAATATTTCTTCTGTTCACGCTAACTGTATTCCATAGATGAATTCCTAAATCAATCAAACAATATTTTCAACCTAAGCAACTTGTACCATTGTTCACTCCAGAGACTGATACAATATCACAAATTAATAACTATGTGTTCTTACCCTAAAAATTTCTGGATAATCTAATCTGGATACCAACACCAGGCTTTTGGGAGCAAACACTTCTGCAGGCTGAATTAAACCAGACACTTCTGCTTCACCTTCTATCTCTTCCTTCTTTGTTCCCTAGAAAAAGAGACACTGAAATCAACAAACAGAAGGAATTTCCTAGGTTTGTAATTCACAAAAGATGAATATCACCTTAAATATAACTTATAGAAAATCAAAAAATATATATAATGAAAAAATCAAACTACAAATAAAGAATAGACTTTAAGAGCCATCTAAAAGGAAAGTAAAGAAATTATGAAGCAGGGAATACTTATTTCATTTTTGAAAAGCTACTTAAGCTCCAGATAGATAGCACAACTATTTATTTCATTTTGTTTTTTCTACTTGTCTCAATCTTTCAAACAAGGATTCTAAGGCTTACAGAATGCTCAGGCTCAATGCTCTTGGCAGTAAAGCACAATCAGCTCTGAATTGCTTTTGTTCATAAGCGACAATGCTGATGATATTCTGAGAAAAGAGAACTTTGGTTGTGTTTTTGAAACACGGTCTTCTCTGTCGCCCAGGCTGGAGGGCAGTATCACAATCACAGCTCAGTGCAGCCTCAACCTTCTGGGCTTAAGGGATCCTCCCATCTCAGCCTCCCAAGTGGCTGGAACCACAGGTGCACACTACTAGGTTATTTTTTTAATTTTATTTTTTGTAGAGACACGGTCTCCCTATGTTGCCCAGCTGGTTTCAAACTCCTGAACTCAAGTGATGCTCCTGCCTTCCTCTTCCAAAGTGCTGGATTACAGGGGTGAGCCATCATGCTTGACTGAGAGAACATTTTTACATACAAAACTAAATTTCAGAATGTACTTAATGTCACTAAACTGAATACATAAAAAGGGCTAAAATGGCATATCTTATATATTTTTTACCACAATAAAAACGGCTTACAACAATATACTAGTTTCAATGACTAAACACTGGTTAATAAACTTGAAAAAATATAATTCTCCCACTTAACAAACCACAAATCCTGATTCCCCTCTTTTTAAGAACCTATATCCCACTGTCAACAAGTTCTGATTTCTCACCACCTCTATTGCTACCATAACACTGTGAGCTACTATAATCTCTTGTGTGGATTCTTCCAACAGCCTCCCTTCATCTCCTTTATTCTTCTTCAGCCCCACTTTGCTTCCTTGCTGCTTGTTAAACACACTAGGCATGCCCCTATCTACCGCTCTATGCACTTCGTGTTATTCCTTTGCCTAAATACTCTTTCCACAGATATCCTAATGACTCAGTTCCTCATCTCTTTTAGGTTTTCATTCAAGCATCTTCTGCTCTGATAAGCCTTTGCTGACAACATTATTTACAACTGCAATGCCCTAACATTCTCTACCTGCTTTCTCTGCTTTAGTTTTCTCCATGGCACTGGTCGCTCTATCCACTATGTTGGATACCCGTTTTACATAGCTTGTTTTTCAGTTTGTCTGTCAACCCCACTAGTACATGCTCCATAAGAGGCCAAGATTTCTATTTCGTTCAATGGTAATTTCCCAGTTCCTAAAATAAGAGCTGGGCCCATAGTTGATACTTACTATTTATTCATTGCATACATGCATAAATATATTTTCTTGGCATAGTTTTTTGAGCGCTTTATCAAGGAAGTCTTTTCCCTGCTATCCATAGAGGCCAAGAATTATATTTTCTATTTCCTTTAGAGCTCATTTAGTTTCTAGGACAATGCAGTATAATCAAGTATTAGATGTCTGTGGACTGCACCCATCCAAAGGGAATTATCTGTTTACTTTTTGTATGTATGATAAAGTCCATATGCTCTTGAAAGAGTTTCATTTATTACAAAGCAAAAACTACAATTAGGTTGGTTGGTTTCTGGAATCCTTAGAAATAATAAAAATGTGATGAATATAAATTTACCAAAGATTTCCACACTTAATGAATCATATTCTTCATGAATTACTAACAGATTCAAAATGACAAAAGAATGACTAAAAATCCTGGAAAAGATAAAGCTATCCACATTTTTATGAGATTGTGATAAATGCCCTAGAGTGCCATTAGAAGTCAGCAAGAATAAATAGATAACATTTCAAATATATGACCATTAACTTACTTTCACCAAAATACAAAATAGAATGCATTGGTAATTTCTTAAAGCTGCCCTTCAATTAGACACTCACCACAAGGAACAGTTGTTAACAAGAAAGAAAAAGGTCCAATAGAGTGAAAATCAGTATTAAGTAAAAATAATTCCATTTTTATTTATATCACTTTTTATTATAGATGTTGATTTTACTCTATAAATGTGCTGCAAATCCTAAAATATTATTGTTCTTAATTCCTATATCTCTCCTGTAAGAATGCACTACTCCAAGTTTAGAGAAAAATTCATAGGAATGTTTTCAAAGCAAAATGTACTGCCGTGATTTAAAAAAACCACACACACAAGAAATAAACCCCAAATTTATTAGGTAAAATAAGGTTTGTTCTAGAATGGTAATGTGATTATTTTTGATAAAATCTTTCTAGAAATAATTTATCATGTAAGAGGAATACTCCCTCTTCTATACAACCGCTAGATATATTCTGTGTAATAATTATATGACACCAGTTTTATTTGGTACGCGTTTAACAATGACAGATTTTTACCCATTGAAAAGATGTGACAAACTTAAAAATAAGCAGGAAATTCAAAACATAGTCTATGAGTGTGAGATATTCTAATAATGCTTCTAAATTTGATGTTTTACAGTATAAAAGTTACACATATTTTATCCAGCTGAACAATATTTTAAAGGCTTCACTAACTTAAGATTATTTCTTCTCATTAAATTGGCCTTTTAAAGATTATTCCTTATTTATAGTAAGTCTCATTAAAGATACAAATTTACCTTAAATCTAAATTATCTCACACTGACTTACAAGGTCAACACATACCATAACCACATGCCACAACTTGCCCATTTGTAGATATCTCTGCCTGCCAATTACTGCTATGAATTATATCTGCTAGTGAGATTCCCAGCTTCTGTGTAGCTCATATTATATGTAGTTCATAGTCTCTGTGCTACAATAATATGGAATAAATTAGTACTCATCATATCAATCTGGCCCAAAAGTGCTACTGCTCTTAAAACATATCCTGAGACAAAAAGTACTAGATTGCTGATTGCATGCAATAACTTCATGTAGCAGATCAGCAAAAGCTTTAGAAATTTTATCCTATCATTCAGGCTGAATACCTCAGCCTCATCTTTGTTGTATCTTGATGCTTGATTTTAATATCAAAATAACTGTCAAGTCCTGACCTTTCTATGCTTAAAGGAACTGTTGCATCCAACATCTTCTCTGTGCTATGTTCATTTTTAACAATACCATATCATGCTAAAAACATTCCCATGGCATTCCTTTAAATAATCAGTTTTAAAAGGAGGATACAAGGAATTCCACAAGTAAAACATTTTCAGTCCTAAATTTTCTTTCTGAAATGTAATATATAGCAAGTGTACCATTATACAGAGTTGCCTCAGTCAAGCAATATAAGGACTTTAAACATTTCCAGAATTGAAATAGTGGAACCTAAGCAGTTGCAAAATTCTGTAAGTTCTAAAACTGCCCCCAAAACCCTTCATTCCTTGCCAAATAATCTTTTAATCATGTAATCATGTTGACATGTCCACATAACCAAACCTGGTTTACCCTTTCATTGGTCTGGAAGGTAACGAATACTTAAGAAATATACATTTTAGGATAACAAACCTTCAAATAAACCAGGCCACTAGTCTTTAGTTCAGAATCAGGTTTACCTCTAGCAAAGAAAATAACCTGCAGATTTTCCCCTTCAATAGCAGAGCTCTGAAGCTCTATGGTACTCAGAAGGCAGAACAAATTCAAGTAATGGCCACAATATATTCACTCATAATGAATTCCGGTTTTAGTGGCACTAAAATAGGAAATGTTTCTCCTGGAACCTAACAGACATTATGTAGCCAAAGGGTCTTCTAATCAAAGAATGTTGGAAACAATACATTAAAAGGGTTTCTTCACTGCAGGATTTCTCGAACTTCAATATGCAAATATTGTTTGTTCAATTTCAAGCAAAGGAAATATAGTATACAGTATTTGTCAAAATTATTGGACCTCTTCTTTATAGCACATCTAGAAGACCTAGTACCCTATGGAACACATATTGGGAAATGTTGTCATAAAGTATTCTAGGATACAAAGTGTTAAAACTTTGTTTAATGAGTATTAACATGGCATATTCAAACACTGCATAAAGAAATAGGACCTGGTTATAAACAAGTATCATGCAACAAATTCTACAACACACATTCATCTAAAAAGTACACTTTATTCAGAAGATGACCTGCAATAGTACTCTGCAAGTATATTTGCTATGAACAACATTAAAATATATCTTTAAAATCAGATATATTAACATGATAAAATAAAAAAAATACAGTAGTGGAAGATATTTTAAATCTACACTACCTACTTCATTTTATAAATCAGTAATTACATGCCAAGAGAGATGAAATGGCTTGCCACGGTTATACAGATCATTAAAGGCATAATTGGGATCAACAAGCCAAGTCTTCTAACTCTTAAGCTACTTCTCTTTCCACTATCCTATACTCTTATATGTAACCTTGACAAGAAATAACATATTAGTTCAAAAAAGCTGTTTAAGAAAGATAACATCTGAGAAGCCAAACTGTCTATCTGAAAAGATGTTCAGATTTGTTTTCCTTTAATTATATTTGAATGTAATAATCTTTGTTTTAAAATAAAATAGTAACAATACACAGTTCTCACTGCAGCCCTTCCTAGCCTGAAATTGTTGTCAAATTTTAAGAAAAAATATTCGATGTTGAAGGATTCTGGAAACTTATTCTCAAAAGTTTCTTCTGTTGTTTTAATGTCTTATATCATTTTAAGCATGTAGCATTACTTAATTGTAGTTAATTCCATGATAGTTTTTTCCTACAAAATACATCTGTGAGGGGCATAAAGGGAATTGTTGAGATTCAGCATTCTGTCCATCTGCCAATTCTCATTTCAAAAAGGAGGAGAAGACAGACACTTTGGTAAAAAGCATA